CGGTACAGCTCTGATAAGCATTTGCAGAAGTTGTTGAGGTGGGGTGGGGATAATAGACAGAGCCTTCTTAGTTTTCACATATCCCAGGAAATATTTGATAAGTCGGCCTGTTTCAATGCAAAACGGGGGAGTCAGATTCAGATAAGCCACAGTTGATTGTTTTTCTCCAGGCAGACTTGTTTCTTGTCCGCCTTGAGTCCTGCTGGAACTTTCGATCCAAAATGGCCAGATTAGTGGGCATTCCACTGGTTCGTGCTTATTAGCTCCCTCCAAGGTTGTCCCCAACATGCTGGAGAGTCCCAGAAGCTGCAAGTGGCCTGCAATTCTCACAAAGCACTTCCAATCTTACGGTTTAGCTAATAAATCAGATGATTTTGAGTGCTTGAAGCACGAATCAAACCTTCACACTAGGCCAGCAGCTTTGCCATGGTCAAAACTGCTGCCACCGTCTTCTTTAATAGCCGAAACCATAGGTATCCACCAGTGCCAAAAAGCAGACACCCTGCTATCATGATTCCAATGATATAAACATCTTCGGTATCCTCCTGAGACAATACGGAAAGGCACATCAACTTCCAGCCCCCCACGGATCCATGACGTACCCTGCTGCGTGCGTCTCAGAAGGGCATGAGGGTTCTCCAGGACCCTGTTGCTTGGTTAAAAAAAAAAATTGATTGCTTTGAAAATCCAGCTTACCAGATCCATGATAGTAGTTTATGATTTGAAAGATGTGTAAATAAAAGCTTCTATACACAAGACAGAGAGCAAAAAAGCAGGAAGAGGACGAGAGAAAGAAGAAGGGCATCGGTCTTGCATAGGGCTTAATTTGTAAACCAACTGATGCCTAAATAGCAGGTGGTCCGGCATGGCTGGGTGGTGCCGGGGGGGAGGGGGGGGGTGTCCGTGGGTCCTCCCCAAGAAAATTTGGAATAAAGGTGATGCCATTTCCTGCATTTTAGTGTATTATAACCGGTTGTTAAACATCTGTTGATTAAATTGATTAAAAATAGCTCTGTCTTGTAAATGAGTCCTCGAGACTCAGTGAGAATAACAACCTGTATAAATAAACGTTGAATTGAAATTACTATTTTAGAGAGCAAGAAGAAAAGCCTGTGAATAGAGCAGCTCTGATTCTGTCAAACGTCCAACGCCCCCCACCCCACCCCACCCACACACTTCACTGTCCAAACTCTTCTCAGCTGAATTCAGTCCTGCATGTTGTTCTGCTCCAATTTCAATTACCATTGCCTTCAGGTGCTTTAAGGGCTTTTCCCAGATCTTGGTCCGGCAGGATCCGGCTCAAATTAACCAAACAAGAACAGGTCTTAAGTATTTGTGTTACACAAATATTTCCAACGTGTTAAAGAGACAAATTCCATCCATCCATTATCCTTTACCCGCTTCTTCCATTTTGGGTCACGGGGGTCATCGGTGCCCATGTCCAGCAATCACTGTGCGAGGGGCGGGGCACACCCTGGACAGGTCGCAAGTCCATCTCATAAAGAGACAAATTGAAGAAAATTATTTAATAAACATGAGGGTTATGAGGGGGTCCCTGAACCCAAAAAGTTTGAGAATCAATGATCTAGAGGTTACTATCAGAGGTGGGATTGTGGTAAACAAAGTTATAGTTTAAGATTAGCTAACATACAAATAATTGCATGCATTTTTTTTTGTATGGTCATGGTCACTTGTAAATAAAACAAGCAATAAATGAATCTCAATAAAACAATACGTTTTGATATTTTGGCCACTGTGTGTCCACAACAGTTCAAAACAGAACTTTAGGTGGGTGGTCTTTTTTTTTTTTTTTTTTTTTTACACCTGCAAATAATTGTAATTTCACAATAAATTAGGCAGTATAACTAAAAAGACTAGCCTCTTCAGTTTTGGTTGTGACTCAAAAAATAATTCAGCTGCTAAGTTGCTAAACTACTTATCTGCCTTTGTGTTATACATTACCTTTAATATTGTTGCCCTTGTTCTCATTTCATGCCCCTTCGTTTCCCAGAATATGTGATCCTCTGGGTCTCTAAACACATTACGCATCATTTTGGATTGCATCAGTAAAAGGACGGGTAGAAACATTAATGTTTTGGTATTATGACTGTTCCTATCAGAACACATTATTATTACCCCTGTTTATTTTTTGTCAGCTTTGTATGTGCTTACATTTCCGCAGGTAATCACTTGCAGATGGCTTTAAAACTCCTCCTGCTACCTCCCAGTTTTTGCTAATCTTTAAAAAAAAAAACAAGGCTAGGTCCACAAGGCTTTGTAGGTTGATAGATTTGTGTGTGTTTGTGTGTGTGTGTTGCTCTTTTTCAGATTTGACTAATATTTTTAAGAAGTTGTATTGTGGAATGCCTTTTAGATGGAAATGATGCTAAAAGGGAAATTATAATATGTAATAATAATTTTGAATTTATTTAGATGTTGCTCTGCATATCTTTTCCGTGCTAAAATGAAAAAAGGAAATTAGGTCATGTTTGGCAATTTGGAACCTATTCAGTCACTGGTTAAATTATTTAGGTTTTTGCTAAATTTAACAAAAATAGTTTGCCATTCAGTAAGAAAAACTTTGAGCTTTGTAATGAAGTCACTGTTGTTGTTTTTTTAGAAACATTCATGTGTTTCTAAGAAAGATGGAAGTGTAGGAGTAGTCAGACAACTGACCACAACAAACAAGAATAAAATCTTTAACAAGTAATTGCTTCCGATGTCCATTTTTGACAGACACACACAAAAACCACATTACTGATCTCTTTGATGAACAAAACTCATGGATGTTAGCTGCTTTAGAGAAACAATGATGATGGAGGAGGAAGCACACACCGAAGGCCTAAAGAATCCTAAACATTTATCTGCGCACACACTCCTAGGGTCAGTAACGAACCTCTATTTAAAATGACATACGTGCTTTGAGCAGTGGGAGGAAACCAGAGCGCTCGGAAAAAAAAACACACATTCATAAGGAGAACATACCAACTTAAACGGCAGAGCTTCCTGCAAAAAGAAAACTCCACCACATCACAAAACATCTAGAATGAATTTGTAAATGTACAACGAAAGGGGAAAAGTGATAGCCCTCCACTGACAGTGATTAAATTCACACATGGGTGTGATTAAAAAGTTAGTTGGTCTTATCACTAAATGTAGTTTTATGTAGTTAAAGACACAACGATGATGAGCATGTCCATAATAAATAAAACACGATGGTACAGAGCAGCTGTTTTGAACAGGAGGATGTTAAATATATAAGATTGACTGGAGTGTCATGTGGAATGGAAAAGCCAGGATCATGTTTTTGATAACTGAAAGTGCAGTTCGCTCCTTGCAGCCACTTCAGTGCATCCATCTGCAGAATCCTGCGTGGACACCAGTGAGCAAGATCAGTGAAGCAATAGTGACCAGGGAACATGAGATAAAAACTGTGCACAGTAAGTCTTACTTTTAAATTATTTTTTGATTCAGATATACTCTCCCTCTCACACTCCAGCCTGTAAAAAGCATCCCTTTATAGAAAACCAGTTATTACGATTTTAGTTGATCTTTGATTATTTAAGGTTTTCTTGTTTTTTCAACTTTTAAATGCATATGTGGCAAAATTTAAAGTACTGTGCCCACAAAGTGTACTGGTATATGTAATTCAAGTACTTTTCACACCCAAAATCCCATTTCCCCCCAGATTTTCTCATAATAAATTTCTAATTCTTGTCATCTGCGGTGGAAGTGGTCTCCAGCTACAAGTACTGTACTTGGGTGTGCAGCTGAATGACAACCTGAGCTGGAGCAACAACACCATCATCCTGATCAAGAAAGCTCAGAGACTCTACTTCCTTAGGCGGCTGAGATGAGCTGGTCTGGGAAGCTCAGTCCTCACCTCCTTCTACAGGTGTGCAGTGGAGAGCATCCTGTGCTCCAGCATCAACGTGTGGCATGGAGGCTGCACAGCTGCAGAAAGAAAAGCTTTGCAGAGAGTGGTGAAGGCTGCACAGAAGTCTGCTGGAGTCAGTCTCCCCACCATCACAGACATCTACGCCTCCAGATGCAGGAAGAGAGCCACCTGCATCATGAAGGACCCCACTCATCCAGCACACACACTTTTTGCCCCACTCCCCTCAGGAAGGAGGTTGAGGAGCATTAAGTGTAGAACCACTAGACTGAGGAACAGCTTCTACCTTGAGGCTGTTAGACTCATGAATCTCTAATCAGGATATTCACAGTGAAAAAAAAATCATGCCGCTTGATTGTTGATATGTGCTGCTGACTATCACGCTGCTGATCACATGCTGCTGATTTATTTCACGCTGCTGTGTTCATTCGTACTCATCTGCTCACACAGACTCATGTTCGTGCTGCTGTTGTTCGGCGTATTGTTGTTGTACTACTAGTGTTTAGTGTATTCTTAGTTTGGCGTATTTCTTAGTTCATCTCTTAGATCTTATTACTGTTTTTCCTTTAAAATGTATACTTTTGTTGGATGTAACTGGGACCCTGTGTGCACAGTTTCGTTCCACCACATGTACAACATGTGATGAGAATGACAATAAAGAAACCTTGACCTTGATCTGCAGGTAATTTAAAGTTTGAGACTCACAATTAAAATGCTTTGCAACATGCATGTGCATTTTATATACATTCAGTCTGTCTAAACTATTTAGTTGATTCATATTTCATCCTTAAAATGTGTTTTAGAGTGTGGAACGCAAACTGCTGAACTCTCATAAATGGTTAATTCAAAGATTAAATAAAAGCAACGTTATTATTAGTAAAATCACATTTCTGGTCATCAAAACTGCGCTCTAAAGAGGTTAACGAAAGAGTCAAATGATCATTTATTTCCTGTTTATATTAAAAGCTAACATCAGACACCATCTTCTGTTTCAGACGATTTTATTTGACGTCTCTAACCTGAGCATTAAAACATGGTTTGGAACTGCAGACAGCAGAGCTGGTGTCATTTCTGAGCACGTGGGGTTCTCTCACGCTTAACTCACCAAATGTTGCGGGGAGGTGAAGTGTCTCGAGGTCACCTTTCAGCAGAGTGCTTTTTGGTGTCCATGCTATCAACTGGGGGTGCACGATTATCCTCCTGCAGACGGATCATGACGTCTGGAAGGTAAAGGGCGGCAAGACAAAGGGGAAAGGAGAGAAAAGGAGAGAATGTGTTAAAAAGGATGCATCCAAATTAGGAAAAAATATCTATTAGCACAGTGGTGCAGTTGGTAGAGCTGCAGCCTCTCAGCGAGCAGGACCCCAGTTCAAATCCTGGTCCGGGGGCCTTTCTGGGTGGAGATTGCATGTTCTCTCCATGCATGTGTGGGTTTTCTCCGGGTACTCCAGTTTCCTCCCACAGACCACTGATTGATAACTCTAAATTGTCCCTAGGTGTGAGTGAGAGAGTGAATGGTTGTCTTGTTTGTCTCTGTGTCCCTGTGATGGACTTGTGACCTGTCCAGGGTGTGCCCAACCTCTCACACAGTAATAGCTAGATATGGGCACCAGTGACCCTCGCGACCCAAAAAGAAAGAAGCGGGTAAACTTAATGGATGGATAGATGGCTCAGCACACTAACACACACACATTTGTAATATTTAAATTTAGTCATATTTCAACAGGAGACAAAACTAAAACACTTCAGACATTCACCTTAAGCAAAAATGGCACTTTCACACCAAGTGATACATTTTTCTTTACAAAATGAAGCCAAAAATCTTCAATCTGCAACTTAGGTTATTTTTGACACATGTTACAGTCAGACCTCTACTTTCTACTCTCTGTGATGTATCTTGCCAGCTACACCAACGTTGACGTTTTAATGCTTTATTTATGCAACGTGTTTTAATCATAGACCTACTCAAGTTATTTGGCTACTATTCTCCACTGGATAATATCTGTCAAAAGGAAGAATGGCATGTCTTCATGTCTAGGGAAGTGTTCATGCCTTATATAGTCTGGGTCTAGTAGAGTTGCCTGCTGCACATTGCTGGATGTAGCCAAGGGCTAAGGAAGGAGACCTTTGGAGAGCTCATTAAAACAGTCTTCAAGTTTTGAGAAAAAAATATGAATCCACTACAAAAGAATGAGCTAGTCATTAAAAATAATCAAGGACTAATGGACTGGTTCCCAGACCAAAAATACATTTCATAAAAATGGAAGTTCAAATGGCTTAATTAAAAAAATAGTGAAAAAGTGGAAGATGATCAAGGTTGATACTAATATTCAACGCTTTATTTACCCACAGTTTTATTAAACAAATAAGCACTCTAGTCCTCTTTCTGTGTTAAAAATACAAAGTTACACCTGAAAGCTAAAGTGGAAGGACATATTTCTGAAAGACACATAATGTTTTTGAGCAAAAACAATTGTTTTAGCATCATTTTAATAGAGATGACATTTTTTTTTGCTGCATTGCGTCTAAAAATTAGCCCCACAGAATTTAAATAAATCATTTGTTGTTTTCTGTTTTTATTTATTTTATTTTTTTTAAGGATGAGACATTTAATTCCAATATTTAGGTCTTTGCTTTGCCCAAAAACTTTATAATTATTTTGGAGCTGCACTGAAGACTGAGCAAGACAGTTTTCTATTTCAGGTTTTAATTTACATATTTAACAATAACAAATCTGAACCTCCAGTTTTATAAAATACTCAAAGGAGTAAAAGGAGTTTTTCTTTAAAATATTATGAATTGGTAATTATCCAGATAGAGAATATGCATGTACAATATGTCCATCTTTGACAATAACATGTCATACAGCACATATGTATGGAGGGTGGAATGTGGCACAATTAAATAAATAAATACATCAGGAAATAAATAAATGTAAATGTCAAAATAAATAAATGAACCATGAAATAAACAAATGAACCATGAAATAAATAAATTTACCATTAAATAGCCCATTAAATAATTAAACATTTCATTTAATTATTTAATACATAATTAAATCATTAAATGTACAATCAAATTATCAAATACACAATTAATTTATTTATTGTCCCATTAAATAAATAAATTCACCTTTTAAATAATAATAACATTAAATAATTAAATGTCATTTAAGATTTTTTTAATTGAAAAATGCATTTAAATATTTCACTGTGTTTATTTATTTACATTTATTTATTTCATGAAGTATTTATTTAATTAATTTTGTCACATTCCACCCTCCATACACATGAAGGGTACTTCTTTAAAGAAAATACATAGAAAGTCGTTATTTACTATTCTCTCCCAGTCTTATAATGGAAAATATCTGTATAAAACATTTCAGTTTACTAAAATCAACAGTATCGTAACTGACTTGAGAGGTTTGTTTAATTAAAAGACTTTTACTATGGGGAAAAAAAATCACATGTTTGCACCAGGTAAAGGCTTTGTGAAGCCACAAAGTACCACTACAGTACAGTTCTGTACTACAGTAATAAAACAGTGGTTGATTTAAGTTGTGCAAAAGCACACATTTTGTTAGGTTTCTTCTTGTACTGGTAATTTCTATACAAATACAATAAATTGTGGGGATTTAATTAGTTTTGAAACAGTTTGTAAATTTAACAAGAACAACTCATCTGTGGCTAATTCCAAACTCACAAATTCAACCTTCAGGCTGCTGTACATGTTAGAAGTGATCTCTACAAACAAACATGATGCATCAAAATGTAAAGCAGCAAGCTATAATGGCAAGTGTCACATAAAATCAACATGTTTTTAGCGATTAAGTGTACTTTGCAAAATATAAGCTTTTCTGTTGCCTTTTAGGTCACACACAGCATGGGTCAGGATTATTGTCTCTTCCACAAAACTATGACAAAAAGCAGTAGGAGATGATAAAGTTGTTAACAAATCTTGTTACTACAAGTGTAGTAAAACTGTGCTGTTGTTTCAACGTAAAACCAGTATTTGACAGTTTTGTTTCGAACATAACCAGCGTATATAAATTACAATGAGGAAAAAAGATAGAAAACATCATCTTAAATACTGTATTTTACTTTATCTAGCTTCCAAAACGCTAAACATTGTGGTTCTCATCACAGATTTATGGTAATCTGAGAGACAGAATGTTTTAATAAAATGCTGAAGCTATTTTCGCTCGTCTGACAAGGCCTAACTAGCCTGCTGTATTTCCTCAAGTCAACAGAAGGGACTAACAACTGCAGCACGCAGCCACTGTGGTACAACAAAAACACGACAGAGCAGATTGGGCAGATTAGGCATAACCAGTGCAAATCTCAAGACACCTTTATCCACAGTCCCATATCCCTCTACTTAAACAGAGCCCCTTATCTCAGCCCGTTCAGGTCCAAGCTACAAGAAAAACTTGTAGAATTTATCAGTAGGAAGTCCATTAACAGCCTTTTCACTGGTGATTTATCAGGAGGCAGCTCACAACTAAAAAGAACGTTGAAAACTGCCCTTGATTAAAGTGCTTAAGGGATTTGTGTAAAATATGTCAAACTTCCATTTATGTGTTGAAGCAGAAACTTCAAGTTCTACAGGTGTATGGTTAAAGTACTGCACTTTATTATGTAAGGAAATGGGATAAATGCTTGCATGTGTGAGGGGGTGATATAAAGCACTAAAATAATTTTAATTCTCAAGGAAAATTATGTATCCATTTAGAATAGATTCAACAAATGATTGGTTATCTAATCACCTGCACGTAAATGCTTCACAAGCTTCTCTGCGTCTCACTGAGTATGATAGAGTGGGGGAGTGCATTTTGTCTCCAGCTGTTTAGCAGCATACGTGAGACAAAAAAAAAAAACAGACATGTACAGAAAGACAGGAGGAAAAAGGACAAAAACAGTGCGTTTCTTGTGGTTGAACTGTGACTGGGACACAGCCAAGGTCATCCTCTTCTTCATGACATACATGGAGCCAGACGGAGCCTCTTACTTGGATGCTCTCCATCTGCTCCCACAGATAAGACTGGCTAGTTCATGAGCAGCATGCAGACACTGCAGCGCTGCATTGGGAATAATATTGCACAATTAAACTAAATCAGTATTTGCATGCATTGCAAAAATGAAGACTGTTTTAACACATGAGGTTTTGCACGTAGTTTGGATGCCATTGCACCGATGTGCTGAAGTACAAAGCAGTCTCTTGTATAAATGTGATACTGTAAAGCAAAAAGGCTAAATGAGTTCTCCAGACACATCCATTAGTTTTGTACTAATTGGTTTATACATATCAACCACAAAACTTGAACATAAGCAGTCAGAGGCCAGAATCGCCTAATCAAGACAATACCTTACCCAGACCAGTAAATTGCCAACTGTCCAGAAGATTTTCCTCAGTGTCTTCTCAGGTTGATATAAATTGGGGGGGAAGTTAATATCTGTGCAGCTGTCTGACCAGTGAAGCTGCTTTGCTTCCTTCTGTTCAACCCCTCCGCTTTGTGAGCTAAAGCTTGCTTTAAAATTCATGAGAGCAAAGAGACGTCTCTCTGTCACTCCACGGTGCACGCTGAGGATTGCTCTGTAAGCTGCGTGTTTTGTTGCACCGCATGAATTGTAGACGGGGCTTGGTTAAAGACAAAAGCACCAACAGCTGGGGAAATACGAGTAATAAATGTTGAATGGAAACAACATTACTATTTAAAGGGAATAGACACGCACAGTGAGTTAAATAAATTCATTTAAACAGTCATATTTGATTCACTTATACCGTCTTTTGGAATTAAATGCAAATTTGTGTTTTGCACCCGTAAGAACACGGCTCTTAGATCAAAAAACGCCCAAGCTTTGACAGAAACCTGAACTGAGGAACACTGTTTTCTTCATTAAGCTTTCATGCTGTTAAAATGAGTCAATTTGATGAGCCATCTGCTAAATGCTGCCATTTCGTCTCCTGCACACACACAAGCAAGCACAATCATAAAGAGCTACATCTAAAACTTCAAAACACCAAAGCCTACAAGCTCCTCGTATGCTGAGAGGTTCATGGACTGATCACCATAACTACAGCTGATGATCTCAACACGCAATGCTTCCGGTTAAATGAGCCTTAACCCATAGTGGAGGTGGACCAATTGACAGGAAATTAGACCAAATTGATTGGGAAACAGATGGAAAAGAGGCAGCCACAAGGAAGCCCAGGAGGCTGT